TACAAGTTTATCCAACATACTCCTTCAACAGATATTTTTGGGTGCTTATTATGTGCCAAGCACCGATCTGGGTCTCCATCTTAGTCTCTAAGAATTCCCATGGAATGAGGCAAGGAGAGAAAAGTGCTCCCAACCCAAATTCTTCTTCCATCACTTACTGCTTGTGTGAAGTTTAAAAAAGCCCTGGTAAGGACTAAGTCACAAGAGCTAACACTCACACTGCACGTACTGTGTGCCAGTACAAACACTGCATATGTAAACTCATCCAATCCACACAACAACCTGCCGAGGCAGGTTCTACTATGGTCCTTATTTTACAGATGAAGAAATGAGCACAGAAAATTTTCCAAGATCACACAAGTGGTAAGTGGCAAAGCTAAGATTTGAACCTAGGCTCCCAAATCTGCAGACTCAACTACATGACAAAGATGACCCCCATGGCAGACATCATTCACTGTTCCCCAATATCCATCCTTCCTTTCTTCTCTACCAACAGAAACCAGTGTTCAGCTGCGTATGTGGCCACCTACAAGAAATACTGCCTCTTTTTCAGTGAACTATGATCAAATATATGGCCAGTGGGACATGAACAGAATTGAAGTCATAACTCCCAGGCAAGCATCCTTAAAGGCTGAAGCCTGCTCTTCCTCGTCTCCCTCTTTTTGTTTGTTTCACTTGGAATGCAGACAGAACGGCTCATGGTCTATTCTCATGACATGGTGGCTGCTCTCTCCAGGATGAATATGATTCAAGAGAACAACATAGAAGCACTCTGTCTTTATTAGACCTACTGTCACTTTTGCCATATTCTTTGGTCACAGAAGTCGTATCTGACTCGATGGTGAAGGGGGTGCTACACAAAGGGTGATACCAGCAGCCATGGATCACTAGGGGCTGTCTTGGCACATGGGACAACTTCACAGAATGCCAGACCAACTTTCCCTCCAAACATCCTGAATGTGAAAGGGAAATAGGTTTTGATCCTGTCTAACTGATTTATGGTTGTGATTAATACACCAGTGAGTTCTCGACACAAAGTGGGCCCCCAGCAAACATTCTCATTCATCCTTTTCTTTAAGCAGATTGAGGTGTACAACTTTGTCTTGTATTTCCCTGTCCACACACAAACTTACACATGTATACCATCACCATCTAGTTGAGGTTTGATACAATGTAGGTGTGGGAGGCAGTGCATTACCCTTTCAATCATTCATCTATTTACTCCTTCATCCATTATTGTCCACAACATGCTAGGCTCTGGCCTCGGATGCTGGAGGACTTACCGTCCAGTGAGGGAGACAAGCATAATGAGATGGAAAACAGCCATCTCTCTGTCACTGGGAAGTGTGCTGACTCTAGTGCTGGCTAAGGCAGAGAAGTGATCCCTAGCCCAGCTGGTGGGTGTGTGGGCCAGGCAGGCATCATGGTGCAGCCAAACAGTACTCAAGCTAAGCACATGTATTCTCTCTACCCTGATGATCCTGCCTGGTATCTGTTCCTGAGTGACACACACAGGAGTCCCTGAGAGTCATGTACCACAAGTTCAGTGCAGTTTTGCTTTGGGAGAGAGCTGGAGGTGGCTTGTGTCTATCCCCAAAGGAATGGGGAAAGGAGGTCTGGTGATATGGATGTGGCATGCATGCTGAGTGGCAGCTGGAAGCGATGGATCTGAGTTAGACTCAACACACAGAGCGGTATCGAGGAAACAAAACACAATAAAACAAAATAACCTGAGAAACAGTTCCATAGAAGCTACCATTTGTGTATATGAAGGACCCACCTGTAGAAATCAGTAGCATATGTGTTCCATAAGGACACATACCTATCCAGAGACAGGCATCAAAAGCATTGGGGCAGGCGCCTCATGGAGAGGGGTGGAGGAGAAGGAATCAGAGTGAAGGAAGAGATGTCACAACCTGCTGTGATGCACACTATGAGACTTTGCATGGGGGGCCACCCTGAACCTTGGCAGAGGACAAGGGCTCTGCGGTCCTCCCCCAGGGAAGACAGGGGCAAAGACTGGTGCCACAGAGGAAGGACAAGCGCTTTAGCAATACAGAAGCCCAGGGCCCACGGTCAGGGTCAGAACAGCAGGGCCAGCACTGTCCCCTCAGCCTCCACTAAGCGGGAAACTTCTGCTCACCCTTCACATGCCTCTGGGCTGTCTGTGAGGTGGGAAGAGGGAGCAAGCAAGGGCTGTGGAGTCACACTCCCCTGTGCTCCTACAGTGTCCACTACATGACCTCGGGCAAGTCATTTTCCCCTGGCTGAATCTGTTTCCCATGTGTAAAATGGGAAGAATGACAATATCTATATCAGAGGCTTGTGATGAGCAGGAAATGAACTTGTATTCTACCACAGTGATACAGAGAGTGACCAAAAAATACGCTATGTATTCACTGCTACATTTCCAGGGCCCAGAACTGTGCCTAGCATGCAGCAGGTGCTCAATGACTGCTTGTAAAATGAATGAAAGGTAGCAATAAATGGTGTAGAAGAAGATACAGCAAGGTAGGGAGAGAGGGGGCACTGGAGGTGCTGGCAGGTGGGAGGGAGGGACCTTTTGAGTCCTGGTTGTTGGGGGCTACTGAAGAGGAGATTTGGAGGAGGATAAAGGAAGTGAGAGGATAAGCTTTGGGGAGACCTGAGGAGAGTGACACTAGAGGAGCCCAGCATGGCTCCAGCAGTAAGGAACAGACAGCGGGAGCAGCTGAGTTTCCTTGGGTTAGATGGACTGAGAATGTGGCAGAAGCCCCCACCCCACTTCCAGTGACAAGTCCTGGAACAGTGGGCAAGCTCAGTCCTGTCCTGGGGCCAGCCCCAAACACAGTACACAGGCCTCTCTCTCTCAGGTACCAGACTCTTTGTGGATGCCAGCCCCCAGCTTTCTTAGCATAACCTCATGGCACCATCTCCAGCTTAGCCCAGTCTTCACAGCAGGAAAATGAGACCAAGAGGCAGCTAACCTCCAAACCTGATCAGGTCTCTCTGATACGAGACCCTGGCTTGTTCCTGCCACATTGTCCTGAAATTCTTTGTTTACAGTTTGCCTTCCCTGGGCTGCTGCAGCCTGCCTCCTTCTCATTCATGGTTTTATTTTACTCCCAGATCCCTTGTGGTAAAACCTGCCCGAGAGATTGAATGAATAAACTGATCTTCCAGCTCAGTTGGTTCTCTGTACAGCATCTCCAGTCCTAAGCTGGGACTGGAAAGGGCTGGACAGAGGAATCTCAACTGCCAGAGGGTCAGGAGCAGAAAGAAGGGGGAGAAGGGGGAGAAAGCGAAAGTGAAGGGATCTGGGAGCCCCATGAGGAGGCGCAGACAGGGAAGGAAATCTCCCAGCAATAATTCATCTGCTCAGGAAGCAGCAGCAATAGCAGGGCCTGGGGCTGCCTGTGGGACAGGCACTGCAGGGAGGGGCCATGCAGACTCCTTCTCCTCCTCCCAAAACCCAGTCTGGCTGGGGTCACGGCCAAATGCTGTGGGGGTGGGAGAGCCGGGTGTGGGAACAGACTCTCCCACAGATCTTGGGTTCTGAAAACTTAGGGGCGCCTTTCCCAGCAGCCAAGGTAAATCCCAAGCCCCTCTCTCCCCTTCTGTCTGGCTGGGCTCAAGGAGCCTGGAGACACCCAGCAAGGCAAAGCTAGGAGGCACCTTCAAGGACATGGGGGCCCAGAGGAGCTAAATGCACCAGGAAGCCTTCCCACTCCAGTCCTGCCAGACTGGCACCATTTGAGCTGAGGAGAAAGTTATTTTCAAGGCCAAGTGGATGCTGATTTGGCCAGTACTGGGATGGACTGGGAAGCAGAGATGAGTGATAAGGGACCCCAGTGGCCATCAACAGCTCAGTTTTTCCTCCCCAGGCCTCTGTGGAAGAGGACATATAGGTCGAACATTCAAGTGTCTGGAAGGAAGGCAGGCATCGAGGGAAGACTGTGTATAATGGTGCTATGGTGGTGGATTCCAAGAAGCTGTAAAGCCAGACAGCTTGGGCTGGCACCCTGTGATGCTGAAGGCCAGCTCTATTTTTTTCTTTTTTGTTTTCTGGGGTCTTTTTGGTACCGGGGATTGAACTCAGGACCTTGCTTGCACTTTCGAGGCAGGCGGTGGCACCGCTGAGCTAAATCCCTGGCCCATCTTTTTTGGTTTTTTGAGATAGGGTCTTACTAGTAGTTCAGGCTGGACTTGAATTTACTATGTATCCCAGGCTGGCCTCAAACTTGCATTGATCCTCCTGCCTCAGCCTCCTGAGTGCTGGGATCACAGGCATGCACCACCACACCCTGCTCAACTCTCTTATCTGTAAATTAGGGACACTGTCCCACAACCTCAGCAGAGAGCAGTAAAATACCCAGCATTGTGCCTACCAGCTCCCTGAGGGCTATAAACCAGAGGGCCTATTAATTTGTACACATCTGTGTTTTCATACCTAAAACCAGGCCTGACCCATAATAGAGACCCAACAACTATTTTTCGATGAACGAATGAATGGAACTACTGGTGTTTGTGTTTTGCTTTCGTTTTGCTTTTAAAGATTGTTGCTAGGAAGGTGACATTGTTGAATCCTTTTTTGCAAAAATTATAGCATTTCTCCAAATGTTCTCTATGGACACCATCACCATCACCACGATCTTGCACAAATCGTAGATTTCTGGGCCATGCTCCAGAATGGCTGAATCAAATGAGGCAATGTGAGAGCCATAATGTCAAAAGCCCCTTCGGTTCTTATCACAAAAGTTGGGGAACCACACACAAGATTAGAATCTGAGGGCTGGACTCCCACCAATCCACTTTCCAAATGAGGAAAAGGGCCAACCTAGGAAATGCGACCTGCTCGCGGTCCAGGAGCCCGGAGCTGAGCTCCACTCTAACCACCCAGACCTCCAGCATTTGCCCGCTCTAGAGCAGGACTCCAAGCCCTCAGGTCGGGACACCAACTCTCCAGCAGCTTTCAACCTAGAGAAGGGGGAGAGCCGCACGTCGCCATTGGCTGGGCGCGGGAGGCGCCTCTCCATTGGCCCAGTGGAGCCCCCGCCCCCGCCGGGGGACGCATTGTGATTGGCCCCTCCCTTGGCTATAAAGTGGTTGGCGTCGGGCAGTGGGAGCGCGCGGGAGCGCACGGTGGGGCGCGGCAGACGTGGGGATACAGCGCGGGAAGGGACTGACCGGGCGCCCATGGCTTTCGCGCTGCTGCGCCCCGTCGGCGCGCACGTGCTGTACCCGGACGTAAGGCTGCTGAGCGAGGACGAGGAGAACCGCAGCGAAAGCGACGCGTCGGACCAGTCGTTCGGCTGCTGCGAAGGCCTGGAGGCAGCGCGGCGAGGCCCGGGCCCCGGGGGCGGGCGGCGGGCGGGCGGCGGCGCGGGCCCTGTGGTAGTAGTGCGACAGCGGCAGGCGGCCAACGCGCGGGAACGGGACCGCACGCAGAGCGTGAACACGGCCTTTACGGCGCTGCGCACGCTTATCCCCACCGAGCCGGTGGATCGAAAGCTGTCCAAGATCGAGACGCTGCGCCTGGCTTCCAGCTACATCGCGCACCTGGCCAACGTGTTGCTGCTGGGCGACGCGGCCGACGACGGGCAGCCGTGCTTCCGTGCGGCCGGCAACGCCAAGACCGCCGCCGCCGCCGCCGCCGACGGCCGCCAGCCGCGCTCCATCTGCACCTTCTGCCTCAGCAACCAGCGCAAGGGGGTGAGTGCGCGGCGCTCGAGATCGCGGGGTCAGGCTTGGCGCGGGGGACGGGCCCTCTAGGGGAGCCGGAGGTGCAGAGACCCCAGTGGAGCGAGGGCGAAGCGACTGGGGTTAGTGGTGGCGTGGAACACAGCCACTTGCCTCCTGTCCCCCACAGAAGGGTGTAGGGAAGCCCTGAGTTCGGCTCTGCTGTAACTGCGCAGTGACGGATGTCGCTCCAGCTAAAGGTATTCTGGGACGCCCTTCCTCCCGGCACGAGGGGTGAGGACAGTAACTCAAATATCACTTGCAGAGCTCTTCTTTTTCTATGCTCTATGCACTTCTCGTCCTCCATCCTCCCCAACAGAGCATCCTCCAGCAGGTAGGTTTTCCCAGTTTGTCAGGAGGAGCATCTGAGGCCGTAGGAGATGAAACCCCATACCTACATTTACAGCGGTTGCTGTGCGTGTGATAACGTGAGCTACCTTGTTTTCAATTGTCCCCCATCCTCAGACCTGACCAAAGAGCAGGAAAACCCAAAGAAATGGGGACACATACCCTCAGCCCAGAGTTTGAGGCACTCATCTGATGAGCAGTAGGAGGAAACGGGGCCCCCTGAAAGAGATGTAGCATTGAGACATAGCTGGAGTTGACCTCCGGCCTTGTGTCTTAAGTAAGAAGCCAACCAGGCATGTAGAGGCTGTCTGGGATCCTCTTGGCTGAAAACTGATCTAGGCCCCAAGGAACCTGCTTCATCTGCAGCCTCTCCCCTTTTCTGACCTGGGCTTTTCCTACGGAAAGGAAAAACCTATCTCTGTGACAGAACTGGGTTTTAACAGCTACCATTTACATCTGGGAAACTGAGGCACACAGAGTCCTGTCTGGCTTTTGGTGGCCAATGGAAGGGTATTGGGGGGTTGTAGTCAGGCCCCCTGACTCCACCAGACTTTGGTTCTCACAGCTGCTCTAGATTTTCTGCCCCATCCTGAGCTAGGGAGGCCTCTGTGTCCTGGCCTTACCATCCACTCTGGCTCATCAGACCTCCAGACTGGCTTCTCATCCCTTGGCTGCCTCAGTTTCCCTGCATCAGTCTTCTTAGGCTCAGATTTGTACCCTTTCCAGGGTCCCTGCTGCTCCCTGTTGTAGGTCCTCGACAGTGCCTGACTGGGCTGGAAAGCCAGGACTGGGCCCTCGGGAACACAGCCAGTGATAGAAGGGCTGCCTGGTCCCTCCTTGATACCCCTGCCTTTACCCCATCGTTCAGCTCAGCAACTGGGAATACCCAGAAGCCGGCTTCTCTAAGGATCGACCTGGAGAAGCAGGTGGTGGGTCCCTTGCTGACTCAAGTGCTTCCAGTGATGTGTCAGGGCCAGGACAGGGACACAAAGACAAGGATGCTGTGGTCTCATGGAGGCAGGAAGAGGGTGGCACCAAGGGACTGTCAGAACCCAGAGGAAGCCCAGAGCCAGGGCAAGAGCTGAAATTGCAAAGGGAGGGAGCGGGAAAGGTGTTCTAGGAGTGGCACACCAGCAGCAAGGGGGTGGAATCATCACCTAGAGAAGGAAGTAGGAAGAAGTTAAAGATTGTGGGAGTGTGGAGAGGAAACAGGCTGGCAATGACAGTGACATGGTCTTCCTGAGCACTGATTTGTGCTCAGTGCTCTTCATGAGTTATCACTGAGATCCTTTAGCAGGCAGTGCAGGAGCACTGTGGCTGTCCCCACCTCAGTGATGCTGCCACTGATTCTAGTGATGGAGCAGGATCTGCACTCAGGCCTGCCTGACTGGAAAGGGGGTGACAGGTGACAGTGGGACCCTTGTACTGCAGCCCTGGTGAGAAGGGCTGTCAGTCACATGCCCCTCCTGCACTAAGCAGGCTGGGGGCTTCTCTGTGGGTCTCAGGCCTATCCCATGGTTCATGGGGCCTTGCCTCGGCCTGGCTGCTTCCCTGGGATCTGTCTATGGGATCAAGAACCCAGCCAAATATGGCTGCAGAAGCCATGCTCAACACCATGGCTCCTCTGGGAATAGGCGAGAGTTGATCCTTGCCAGCTTTGGCCTCTCCAGGACTCAGTTGGAAGAAAACTGGTTGTTTTGGGGAGCCCTTGCTGCCTTCTGAGCTCTGAGGCCTGGGAAGCTCCAAGTTCCCACATCCTGTCCCTTTACCCCAAGTCACCAGCTCCCTCCCACCCTGGTGGTCTGGGCTGGGGTTGCTGTGGAAACAGGACCCCATAACACCCTGCTGTTTAAGAGTGAGAGTAGTGGGTGGGAGATGGGAAGGCAGATCTTGTCTCTGCCCTGTTTCCCTTTTGTCACCGCCCTGTTTCCCTTTTGTCACCCCAATTGGGGCCTGGACTGGATCCCCTGGTGAGGCCATCTTCTGTTGGTGTGCCCAGCTCAGGAGCAGAAGTGGGGGCATGGCAGGGGCCAGGAGATGTCATTACCAGACAATGCTGACAACCATACTTTTGAACACTTCCTGAACACTTATGTTCTTAATGCTGTGCTCGGGGTTTTACCCATTAGCTTGTGTGACCCATGTTAACTTGAGTAATCCTAAAAGTAACTTCACTTTACAGGCAAAGAAACTGATGCTCAGTGAGGTGAAGTCATTTGCCTAAAGTCCAACAGGCAGTCTGGTGCAATGCAGGACCTGGAGGCCAGGACTGTCACTTTCTCCTGACCCCTAGCCATAGTGCTTCACAAACACTCTTGGCACTGAGTTCCTATAGGACAAACTGGGGACTGGTCAGGATCTCTTCTAAGGGCTCATGGCAGTTTATACATCTGGCCATTTCTGGAACAGCGGCTATAACCATTTTGTCACATTTCATAGATGAAGAAACTAAGGTTCAAGTAGGTGGATTCTCATGGGATCCAGGTGTCCAGATGACCTCCAGACTTAGCAAAGGTATGTCCCTAGGATTTAAAGACAGGAAGTGAAAAGGCCCACTTTTTATCTCCAGTCCTAACCCTGCATCCCCTCCCCTGCCCCTGTCCGCCCTTCTGAGCCTCCCCTGCCAGAGTTTGTCTGAGAAGCCCAAGCCCCAGGCTCTGCTGGGACCATGGCCTCAGCCCTCAAAATAGCCCTGCCTGTGAATGAACATGCTGTCCCTAGGCCCAGAGAGCCTCGAGGGAGGCCAGGCCACATCTGGATGGATCTGCCCCAACCTGGGCCCGGGATGGAGGAGGGACAGAGGCAGGGCGTACAGATGGTCTGTGACTTCCCTTGCTGGGCTGAGAAAGTCACCATTCCCTCCTCGCCTAGCCAAGTTCTGGGTGCTGAGCATTTACTGTGATGTTTCAGAAGTATAGCGTCCCGGAAGCCAGACAACTTGTTGGACAACATGGATTCTACCCAGGCTCTTTAACCAACTGGCCAGGTGCCTCTAGGCCAGGCACCTGGAGGCTTCAGAAGAGGGGCACTACTACAGTGCAACCTCTCCAGTCTACAAGGAAGACAAACCTTGTGTGTCCAACCTGAGAATACTGGCAAGAGGGGCCAGCAGAAACTGCCCCCGTGGGGTGAGGGATGGATGGGCTCAGGGAATGCCATCATTAGCTCATCTTCCAGTGGCCACCCCTGGAGTCAAGCAGTATTGATTGGTACCTCCTCCATGTCAGGTTCTAGACTAGAAAAGGCATCCTGGTGTGACGAATGCCTTTTCCCTACCTCTCCCTGTATTCCAGCCTGATGGGGAACAAAGGAGATACCTTGCCTGCCCCTTCTGGGCTGAATCACAGGGGACTGTTCCCAAAAGGCAGGACATACTAGGCAATTTCAAGAGTAGAGGAACCTTCCTAGGGAGACAAGACCTAAGAGCATGTTCCCAGCAAAAGGAGGAGCCACCACCGAGGAAGGAGGCCAGAAATCCTGGTCTGCTGTCACAACTGCTCAATCAGGCCATGCCAAGAGGAGAACTGCTATGGGTTCACCTGGGTTCCACCCCCAGCAGTACTGGAGATCAAACCTGGGGTGCTCTACCACTGAGCTATATCCCCAGCTATCTTTAGTTCTTTTTATTTGAAGACAGTGTCTTGCTAAGTTGCCTAGGAGAGATTTGAACTTGCATTCCTCCTGCCTCAGCTTCTCTCAGTGCTGGGATTACAGACATGTGCCACCATGCCCAGTTAAAAATTTTCTTTGAAAAAAGAGAACACTCACATGGGGAAGAAATGGAAAAGGTAAAAGAGTATATAAAGTGAAAAGGCCTCCCTCCCATCCCATCTCCCCATCATCAAATTTCTGTCCTCTGAAGACACCCACTAACAATTTCCTGCATGATCTTCTGTTTGGAAATTACAACACATGAATGTATTCACTCAGTTCTGCCCTAGCTTTTGCCCTTAGACAATATCTAAGTTCCAGCACTATGTTCCCAGTGACCTGACCCATCCTCCTGACACCTCTTTTTCTCCTTCTGCAGGGTGGCCGTCGTGACCTGGGAGGCAGCTGCTTGAAAGTGAGGGGGGTAACCCCTCTTCGAGGGCCTCGGAGATGAGCCTGGGCCTCTGCAACATTTGTTCCAAGTAGGACTCTGGAGAAGGAGACGGAAGCAAGCCACTGGCTGGGAAGGGGAGAAGACCCCAGATGCCAGACCCACCCCTTTTCTGTGTAGGGATTAGGGGACAATGGCCTGAGCCCAGGGTCTTTCAGGCAAGGCCCCTGGAACATCTCCATCCCACCTTGGAGACCTGTGAGGACCCATCCAGCTTGCCCAGGCCTAGCTGCTCAGAGACAAGGCCAAACATTTGGAAAACCAAAGACTTGGTGACCTCTAGAGGGTGTGTGCAAGTGTGTGCATGAATGAGGGTGTGCATGAGAGAGAGAGTTGGTGAGGTTTAAAATAAAAATATTTTTAAATAAGAGATGTCATTCCCAGGTCAGGAAGGGAGGGGCCCGTGGACAGCAGCAGTTGGAGGTGGCCCCTTGCAGGACCTAGAAAGGGGCACAGCATGGCGGGGAAAGCCAGCCCTGGGGCAGTGGGCTGGTGACAGGTGCCCGGGCAGGCTGAGACAGAAGTGGAGGTGAGCACTCTTCTCACAGTCTCCTGTGTATCCAGTGTCATTGTACAACCACTAGGTGTCTGGCTCAGTGGAGAAAGAAATCCTGATTTTATTTATTTTTACATAAGGGTTAGATCCATGGTTCAAAGTCAAGGTATAAGAGGACCTAGGGTGCAGTCTCCATGACCTCCAGCCACTACCTCTCTTCCCAGAGGCTGCTTGGTCACCATTTTCTGTGATGCCCCTTCCCTGTGAATAATCAAGTAAATGCACAAAGCACAGGGCACTTTATACACTTTCTGTTTCTTTCCCCCTTAATCCAGCTAGCGGCCACCCAAAATCAGTACAGAAAGGATGTCCTGTTTCCTCTAATAGCTGATCTTTCCATTTTATGAATAAACCATACTTCAGCCTATTCCCTCATTGACACTGTCACCAACAACACTTGTGTGGGCATGCAGTTTTCTACCTGTGGAAATGAGTGTGTGCTAAAGGAACACACTCTTCCCCTTGTTTAGAGGAGACAGTTTAGAGGACTGATGACACCCAAAGGCACATGGCAGGGTGACACCCTGAGGTTTGTCCACATTTTAAAGCAAGCCCAGAGTAGCTCTGTCCCCTGTCCCAATGGAGTTCCCATCCCTGAGACCCTGGATTTATGCCCAGCAGCCCTGGTGGTGAGAGCTGTGTCAGCTAAGATAAAGATGGGGACAGGACGGCTGGTCAGTGGATCCCAGAGTTCTTGGCACTCTGGCTGGGCTCCTGTTCCTGTGAGGCCAGGGTCACAGGAACTTGGGAGGCCTAAGGGAGGGGAAGGCAGGGAGAGCCCAGGTTAGCTGGGCAGCTACATTCATAGACTTATTTTAATTATTTTCACTGAACAACACTCTTCTACAATGTTGGTGTTCTGCAGTCAGGCTCCACATCCATACTCTATTTCCTCCCATGCCCTTGACCCTCTGATGAGCCTGGATGGGGCCCGCTTGCATGCCAAACTCTGTGCCAGTCATCACGGGGCTGAGCCTGCACCACCTGGTTTTTCTCACAGATGAAAACCCTGAAAGAACTAGGGAGTAACCAGAATTGCCAGTCCCAAACCACCCACTTAACCCAGGGGAGCTCTCCAGGCACCCTCCTCCCCTCCCAATGTTCCACGGACACCATCTTGCCTATCCTGTGTCCCAGCAGGCCACATTTCCCCTCCGGGAGTTAATTAGGAAAGCACATTGCTCTCCCTGCATCTACCCTGGTCCAGGTATAGCCAGCCTCTGGCAAAGCCACAGGAAGATGACTGTGACCTTGTCAATGGCAGGAAACCTGGGAGTGGGGGCAGGGCAGACACTTGGGTGCACTGCACTGGAAGCCCATGTCTGCCAGCAGATTTGCTGGGTGACCGCAGACACATTGCTTGACCCCTCTGGGCCTTGCTCCATCTCTAACCAGCAAGAGGAACTAGAACAGAAGTGTTTGTTTTTTACTTTGTTCAACAATTTTGAATGGACTATTTGTGCACTGGGCAAATAGTTCAAGTTGTATCAAATAGTATGCAGTGAAAATTACTCAGTCCGGGGCAGGGGATTTAATCAGTGGCACCACATCTGCCTCACAAGAGCAAGGTCCTGAGTTCGATTCCAAAAAACAGAAAATTACACAGTCCCCCAGTCCCCTCCCTGAAGGCAGCTCCTGTTACCTGTTTCCTGTGGGTCCTTCCAGAAAGCCCCTATGCTGATTACTGCTGCTGAAAAAAATGTCCATAGGTTTCTCTGCTGATGTATTCGTGGTAGCGTTCAAATATCGAGACCCTAGAAATACCACCCATCCCAAAGACAAGCACAGTGTGTTCATTACACACACACTTAAACAGCCATCTACAGCATACTGAGTGCACACCTCTCATCCACGCATAGCATCTGTGCCAGGAAGAACATGTGTAAGAGCCCAGCTGTGCAGGTACTCACCAGCTCAGCATGCCTGGATACCAGCAAATGGGTCACAAGAAGAAGTCAGCAGCTTCCCGGGAACTGGTGCCAGCACTTATTCTCACACTGCGCTCTCTCAGTCATTTCTCCTTTGACACAGATAATGCACTCACAGAACTCACCATCAAAAGAAGCAAAAGGGAATAAACTGACGATAAGTCTCCTTCCCTCCAGTCACTCTGTTCTGGGTTCTGCTTCTCCAAGGCAATTACTGTCTTATGGATACCTGCAGAGAAGATCTGCATATATAGGCACTTTACACACACACAGTTTTTCCACACAAATGACAGTCTTTTACACTGCTCTGTGCTTGGATTTTTCCTCTTATAGTACTGCTCAGAGCCCATGGTGTTCCACAAGCTGTTTCACCCTGTACCTAGCTGCATAGTGCTCCCTTCTGCCCACTGCAGCTTGCAGGCTTCCTGGACAATGGACAGTTAACATCCATGAGTCTTTGTGAACTGCAGGACCAGCCTGATACACGTGACTTGGGAGAAGCACAGCTGTGGGCCAATACCTCTGGGGGCCATTTTCCTAACACTAACTACCCCTCCTCTACAAGCACTTCCCGCCTCTGGGATGGGACAGCCCAGCCAGGCTTCTCCAGGCCAACCTTGGGGCCAGAGGAGTTAAATTGCTCAGGGAGAAGAATCCCAGGGCTAAAGAGAGTAGGATGATCAGAATGAGAAAGATCTCAGCCTCATCATTTCATAATGAAGAACCGAGACAAGACAGAAGAAGAGACCTGTCTGAGGTCCCCTAGCAAGTGTCTGTTCCTGCTGGACCTCCAGAAACCCAGGTCTCCTTCCTTTCTAGGCAGGTCTCTGCCCTCTAATTCCACGAATGGCAAGGCTTCAGAGGCCACCGGCAGCCATGAGGATTTGAGCTTAGAGAGGGACGGTGGGCCGTAGGTAGAGTCTGTGCTCACCATGTACAAGGGCCTAGGTTCAGTCCCTAGCACAAAAGATAATAGTAATAAATAAAAACATCACAAGAATTTTGAAAACAATATCTATCAGCAAGTTAACTCTTAACCACCTACACCCAGTCCCAAAGCACAGTGCATTATCTTGCAAACATAATATAATTAGAGGATTTACAAAAACATCAATTCCTGGGATGTACACACAAAGTTGAATGTCTCTTGTGTTGCCTGTGTCTCTTGCTACTGTTCATTTTCACTCCTGTGGTTGGCTGTGATATCAAAGTCTAGAACTGGGCAGCTAATGCAACGTGTAACCTTGGACTAGAGCCTGTACGATGGGGTGGGGGTGGGAGATTGCTACAGAGGACATAGGACAGTTGACATAATTAGAATAGGGACAATGAAGTATTGTATCAAAGGTAAATTTTCTGCATTTGTTAACAGTTCTATGGTTATGTAAGAGGATGTCCTTGTACTTAAGAAATTAGTATTCTTCAGGGATAGGGCAGCGTAATATAGGTAACGTGCTCTCAAGTGAATCTGAAAAAATGACTGGTATGCCTGTGGGAGAGAAGGATAAAGCACATGTGGTGACCTGTGTAGGTTTGGAGAATCTGGGTAAAGGGTGTCCAGGGTTCCCCATACTCCTTTCAATTCTTCTCTGCATGTTTGTAAATGATTGCCAAATGACAACTTAAGAAGCCAGGACCTTGGTGCATGAGGAGGTGAGGGCTGCCAAACCGTCCCCTGTTCCGCTCTGACTCACCCTTGCCTTGGCCAACCCAACAGAGGACAGAAAAGATACTGGGGGACCCAGGCATCCCTGCCTGTAACTCTCGGGACCCTGTGCCCCTCAGGAGGCTAAGGTGGTCCTGGCCCCCAAGCCTCCTGCCACCATGATTTATGTCCCTGTGAGCCTCAGCAGCTGTGAGCTTGGGTCCCACCGGGCGGCCGGCTGGGGGGCCAGCCTTTGCTTCTCAGCGTGTCTAATCCAGACCAGACTTGCAGACCCCACGGGCCTGGGATCAGCCTCCCAGGGGGCTGGGGTCAGAGGCCAGGCCAACAGGGCCTGGAAACTGAGGGGGGGCCGGGTAACTGAGGGTGAACCAGCTGGAAGGCAGGAGATCTCTCCTGGTCCAAGTTGACCTTTGCTCCTGTGTGATCCAGGGTGTGTGTCTGCCCTTCTCTGAGCCTTGCTGTTGATCAACTCAGCATAGCCTGCACACAGTGAACCAGAGGACTTTGTCAACTGGGAAAGACTGATTTGGGGGAAGGAAAGCTGGTAAAACATAGGAGCTGGCTTTTTTTGAATACCAGGTTCCTGAGGCTCGGAAAAAATGCCTGACTTTTTGAGGGCCGACTGTGTTTCAGGCCTCAGTCTATGTGCTGGGCATAAAAGAACTAATATAGCCCACTCAACAAGTTTGCTAGATAGGTGCTACTATTGCCCTATTTTATAGATGAGGACATTTTGAGACAAGGAGGTTAAAGAATGGCTGTAAGCAGGTGGATCTGAGTCAGGTGTCTGGCCATGGAGGCCCCTGGGCTCTCAAACACCACCCTGACAGGTGCACTAGCCCACGCCCTGCTCCAAATAACTGATGGGGATCCCACCCCAATGCACACAGGCGGGTACTGTCACCTTCCCCACTTCCCACACTGGAAACCCAAGCCTAGGATCACAGGGCCAGGAAATGGCAGGGCCAGGATTCAAACCCCAGGGATCTTACCTCAGAACCCATGGCCTGGGTCACTGCAGGAGGCAAAACTCAGCAGGAGACATGGGACAGGGTTTAATGTCATAGATCCTGGGATCCGACCTTTCAGCTTGCCTGGACTGCATTGAGTGAGGAGGAATGGTCTTGTGCTACATATACCGTATGTAACATAGTTAATGCATATAAGTAACAAAACTTCCTTTATTTTAAAAATATTTTAGTATAACTTTAAAATAAAAT